AACATGGGACTCCGAGGTTCCCGCTCCCGACAGCCTTGCGAAGCCTGGCACACGCTTGCTTATAACAGCCTGACTTTGATGGTTGCTGATTCTGCCCTGCCCCAGTGACTGGGCCATTAGCTCCTTTGCTTTCCCCATCCCCATGCTGCTCCCAGCCATAAATACACCTTCCAGTTGTTGTCCTAAATTAGGAAAAGCCTGGACAAACCCTGCTCCACCTGCATTCCTCCTCCACATGTTCCCGTGGCCGCTCCGCAGCTTCCCTGGATCCCGGGGAGCAGGTATGGGAACCAGGTGGGTCTGCACTGTCTCCAGCCCTGCACCTACCTGATAGAGTCCAGCAGGTTGCGAGAAGGGATGTATTTAGGCTTGCCCGACTGCCCTGAGCCAGGAATGAATCCCTGGGGCGATGCAAGGTGGAACAGTTGTTAGATTGCAGCGAGCACTGGGAGATGGCCTCCAAATGCTTCTGCTGTGACCTGTATGAGTATGAAATCCAGATAGTTGCTCTGTTCTGGAGCTGCTGAGAGAGCTTGGCTGCTTTTCTGCTGCCCCAGCTGTATTTGGCTACTTATCTCCCTGTTCCCCTCCCAGATTCACCTTGAACAAGCCTGTCGCCATCCTCAAGTCAAGTCCTTTGCAGGCAGCAGGACCGCAGAGGGGAGATGTTCCCCTCTAGCTTAGAGTCACCAAGCAGCCCAAAGAACGGAGGTGTAGGGAGCTGGGCAGGGGCTGAGGTGAGCTGCAGCGATGGCTGGTGCAAGCTGCATTCAAGGTTTTCAGAGGTGATGCCTGGAGACACTGGCTTTTCTCGCTGCTTAAGAGACTTTCCGTGGGTCTCGGCTGCAGTTTTGAGTGCCGTGCCGTGGTGTCGCTCCACTGCCTGAGTTGCCCTGGTGCCTGGCGGCCATGCTCACCCACGGGGACCAAGTTTATCCGCTTGGCAGTGCCAAGGAGAGCTGCGTCGTGCTGGGAGTAGCTACGCCAGGGCTAACGTCCTCAGCACTGTGAGGCACCTTGGACCCGTCTGCCCAAATCTCTTTTTGCGCCGACCTCGAGGCTGCACAGCCTCAGCTTTCCCTGTGGTCTGTGGCCGGTTAGACTTCACTGTCTCTCCTTCTCCTTGCCCTTTGCTTCCCTCTGAGCGAAGAACAGTTGTGCGTGCACAAGGCTTTGGTCACACCTTCATCTCCCGTCGGCTCCTCCAGCCCTGGCCAGGTCCCACTCCCATGTTCAGGATCTCCGGGGCAGGTGGGCTGGATGTGGCTAGCAGATGGGTCAGAGCAGCTGAAAAGCCAAGATGTAACACCCAGAACAGCTGCTGCTTGCTTATTTTGACTTTTTTTTTTTTTTTTTACTTTCAATTATTCATGATACTTAATGCCCTGGTAAATGCACTGCACTCTGGTCTGTAAGAATAGCGCAGCATCTGTTTGGGCTCAGCTCTCTGGCTGTGGCAAAAGGCAGCTGAGATCCAGTGCAGCTTGGTTGGGACAGACCTGCCTGGACTTCCTCCTCCACCCCTGGCCCTGGCTGAGTCACTTCAACCTTCTGGGGCTTCTGGATTTTTTCCAGCCTTGCGATGAGCAGAGCAGCCCTTCCCTTCCTCTATGGGAGGCTGGGAGGAGGAAGAGGAGTGAGCTGTTGGCAGAGGAGTCGGCAGGGGAGTCGGCTGGGCAGCTGTAGCTGGGTTGGCTGTGGCTGTCTGCCAGAACTGAGGTCTCCCTGGCCACATGCGGCTGTTGATCACTGGGGATCTTTGCAACAGCAGCAAGGGACAGGGACAATCTTTTGGCTCCATTCATTCAGCTCCTGCCCTGTGGGTTCCAGGCTTTGCTTTGGGGCACGTTGGGCACGATGCAAAGCCCAGGAGGTGGGTGCATGGGGAGGCGGAGACAAGGTGGAGGCTTTGCCTCACATGCCGGGAGCACAGGGCGGCCGCCTGGGCTCATCTCCCCGTGTGGTATGCCTGGCTCATGTGAATTTAATTAAGTGCATGTATTGGAGTGCAGACAGAGCAGATGCAATTAGCAGGGCTGAGTGGGGCTGGGGCTTTGGGGAAGAGCAGCAGGTCTTTCCAGAAATGGGAGCACCAGTGTTGCCGTGTCCGGGGTTTTGCTAGCACCCCTGCTCCAAACACCTCTTCTGCTGAGCAGCTCCTCCAGATGGTGAGGTTGGAGGCAGGAGCAGGCAAGAGGGAGCAGAGGGGTGAAGCATCCCGTTGCGTCCGTACGGGAAGAGGAGCTTGGAGGGAGTTGTGACGGGGACGGGAGCGGTGCTGGCTGTGCCGCAGCGCCCTGCGCAGCCTGTGGGGAGCCCGAACAAGCCCCTCTCTCCAGGGCTGTCGCTGCTGTTGTTGGGAGTGCTGCCATGGCTGTTCCTCAGGGTTAGCTGCTGTCTGAGAGGTGGTGACAAATTTGCAAACTCCAAACAAACCTTTTCCTTTCTCCCTTTTTCAGTGTCCTTTTCTTTTTCTTGCTCCTCTTTGGCCGGGCAGACACCTGCCTGCCCCGGCCTCACTCTT